ATCTGTTTTGCACTAGGTACAAAAAATTCTTCCTCTCATGACCTTAAGGACAAAAATGTCCCCATTGAAACCCATTAAAACTGCAATTTTTAATCGCAGTGCCATTTAACTGTAAAATTATGCAATTTTTGTCGATAGGCTTTCATTATATTGGCAAGGCTTTAAAATTTAATTTTTTATGGACCTGTGTGTAACTTTTTTTAATTGACGCACAAGGGTTAATCAAAAGGTCATAAATGGACCTTCTCATGAAAACAACGAACTTTTCTCACAATACAGAAGAAAAATCACTACTTGATGATAACTTTATATTGTTTGACATATTTCTGAGCAGAGTATCAAGCAGAAAGCATTTCATTTGTGAGATCTGATGCTTTCTTTTATACAGCAGATGCCATTGCTACAAGCCAGTTCTTTAGATCTTGCTATCTTAGATGCAAGAGAATAAAGTGACTTAAAGTGTCTTTACACTTACAAAAACACCCCAAAAAGTACCATGGTTTGTTGGACATGCACCATTCCATACCATGGTATACTTGGAAAGACCCTGGAGTGAAGTTTAGTATTATGGTATATTTCAAAGTACTGCCACAGTACCTTTTTGTAGACATTTAAGAATTCATAATTGAAAAAAAAAATCCTATATTGATTGACAAAAAAATCAGTATATTGAGGGTGTTTATGGTGGCCAGGCATGGTACTAACATAGTGTTTTTGACAAGGTAATACCATGATGCTACCACCATTCTGTTTTGTAAGAGTATAAAGACACCATTTGTCTTTTTTATTTGTTTGCTTTTTTAATTTGCAGTCAATTAAAATAGTATCCCTTAAAACTGTGTTCTACTGAAACAGGGAACAATTCATGATATATATATATATATATATATATATATATATATATCATGTCTTCAAGGGAAATGCCTTTGTTTAGTGTGTTGAATGCAGTCTAATTGAGACCATATTCCCACTGGACACAAAACCCACACTCATGCACATACTAAGAATGTAAATACAATTCAGCGGAGGTTATATTCCCACCTGACAGACTAAAACACACATACACAGCAGTCCCTGGAGAAACCTTAGAGTATGCATGAATAGATCCCTTAAATCTGTGTTCTACTGAAACAGGGAACAATTCATGATATATATATATATATATATATATATATATATATCATGTCTTCAAGGGAAATGCCTTTGTTTAGTGTGTTGAATGCAGTCTAATTGAGACCATATTCCCAATGGACATAAAACCCACACTCAGGCACATACTAAGAATGTAAATACAATTCAGCTGAGGTTATATTCCCACCTGACACGCTAAACACACATACAAAGCAGTCCCCGGAGAAAACTGAGAGGATGAATGAATAGCTGTAAGTTCATACAGAGGAAATGTGACTGAAATTATACATTGTGTTTCACACTTACAATACTGCAGGCTGAAACTCAGCACCGCCAGCAGGGCACCCACCACCAGCACCAGCATGAAACGGCTTCGTGCCAGCATTGTCCTGTGATTGGTTCGGACTCCTGTCCATCAGCCATACATGCACAGCCCACTTACGGTCACCTGGGAAATTAAGAGCAACGGAAACTTAATATTGCACACATAAGAACAACACAACATGCATGCAATGCTTAACAAATGTTGAGATGTTACAAGGACAAATTACTCAGCACAAACACTGTAATGAAAACCCCACAGTGCTGGTTTCCCTTTTATAGGCATATTGCAGCAAAAAACATGATACAGGACAGCCAAAGTCTGGTGAAACACAAACTGACAAACCTACACACAGAACCAAGAAGCAACGTGTAATTTACCCCAGAAGCAAAAACTGCTATTAACTCTAAATACAGATAATTGTTTTGACCAAATCTGACATACAAACATGCACGGCTGATGAACTGAGCAGATGTTTACAGCAGCCAGAGAGCATTAAACCACTTCCTGGACTACACCCTCACTCCTCTGCAGCTAAACTCCAAATACCGAGATGAGAACAAATATGCATTTTCAAAATGTGATATCACACCAATTTTTGTCACCTTTTTTACTGTTGGTATAGTTTAATTATTACCCCTGTGGTTCTAATGACAGCAGTCTCTTGCAGTGTGACATGCCTTATTCCATCTAAAACTAGTACTTTTTGTGTAATTATTATTCATGCTGTTTTATGGCCTCATTTTAAAGGAGAGACGACATGACAGTGATACTGTCAAAATTTGTCACACCGCAGGATTATTGAAATGAACTAGTGAAGGCTAAAACAATTAAAAAATGCAATTTAAACAATCGAATGCACACTCTTTTATAATGAACATGTTTTAGGATTCTGAAATGAAAAGAGACATTTTGTAAGTTTTATAGAAAACTATAAAACACCCTTGAAGACCCTCATTACAGTGTCTCAAGGTCATCAAGCTCATATATTTAAAAGTTCATTAGTTCATATATTTATCTACTTTATATAAAAAGGCATGTTTTGCTCAAATAAAAAGTGATATTTTATTTTTTTTACACCTTGATAATTTACCCCTCTTTGAGATTATACCACTGAAGAATGATCAGACTCAGCCCTGCTGTGAGCCTCTAACAATATAAACTGAGAGAGAGTGTTTGTATATACTGTATGTATGTATGAAACCAACAATAATGCAAAGATTACATTTCTGATAACTATATATATATTTACTGGATTTTACTGAAATGTGTTTCTATATTTGTACTATTTTCTTTACAGGATTTTATTTCTTTATAGGCCATATGGAGATGTTGCAGATGACAGCTCGCATTTAATAACGCATTTTACACAATAAATGTGCACTGTCTAAAAGTGTTGAATCTTAAAATTCCGACCATGCTGGAACGGCGCTGTTTTTCTGCATATAATGTCAATTTGTGGTGTTTTACGAGTGAAGACGATCAGTTTGCGATCTCAATAGCGCAACTTCGGTGTCTTCGGGAAACCGTGCAAAAGGAACATGAGAAGAATTCGTATGGAAAACGGGAACGCTGCATATGCAGTTCTGAATGGTTCAGTGAGATCAGCGGATCAAACACACGTACAAGACCCGTCACGGCACGAGAAGAGGGAAACCCGCTTTACCTGACCGAACAGAGCCGAGATATTCCGTTCAGAGGAGTCGATCCGAGCGGTGATCCATCTGCCCGTCAAGAATTATCTACCAGCCCTGCTGCGAGCCTCTAACAATATAAATTGAGAGAGAGTGAGTGAGTGTGTGTGTGTGTGTGTCAGACATTTTGTTGAGTTCAATGCTCCATCTGCTGGTCATAAATGGTCAAAGACCAAAGTTGTGGCGATACCATGGTATCATATGGTAGCTACTTGTGTGTATTTGTGTCTGTACAGCTTTAGCCGGCTATGAAAACAGTCCAAGTCTATGAGATGTCCTCCTCACTCAAATAAAGCTCTGTGTGTAGGCCTATGTGTTTGTTGTGGCTTCATGCACTTTGACTTGAAAACTATTAATGATCCACCAGAGGGTTGTGGTTTTGCTTCTGGAAACAGATTTTACATCGGACATCAAGTGCCAGAGTATGTATATTAAATGTCTCTTGAATTTGACCACGTGACTACAAATAGTTTTTATCATTGTTGCAGGCAACCCTATATTTACTTTTTTTGAAGTAGGCTATAGCCTACTAGTAATATGCCGATTTATTTTGCAAGTAGGCCTATGCTCAATTAAATGTTATTTGCATTTAACATTGTTTTTCTTTACTGTCTGCAACCCATTTTATGCCGGTGTGTGTGTGTACACTCTGTGCTTGTTTGTATGCACTGATTCTACATTATTTGAACTGATTTCCAGTTCAAGTGTCATCGACTGACCCATTACAGTAGATCGCTCTTTGGCAATGCATTTGTATGTTTTTGGTATTTTGTTGTTCTTGTTGAACTCATTTCAGGGGTTAAGGTGGAGTTATAAAGCAGCTCTGACAAGACAATAGTGCAATTATTTAGTTCAAGTCAGTTCAGTTCAAACTGTAAAATGTCAGTCAATTATAAAACAAGTTCAGGTTTGTAGGGAATGGTGGAGCAGAAGGGAACGAGGAACTGTGCAACAGAGAGATTGGTTATTTGGATAAACCAGTTTAGAGAACCACACTAATAATTAACCATTCTTCCGTAAACAAAAAATAAAATAAATAAAAAATACACACACATTTTACTGTCTATGACTGGTTTGCAAGTTAATGCATGTTTGCCGCACTGACTCATGTGACTTATCTAATTGAAGTTGCACATAAAGCCACAACCTGAATGAACAGAAGATTGAATCACTTTAAATATAGATCTACCTGTTTACATAGAACACACACAGTTCAAAGAGACGCCCTATTACTGACAGATGTGATAGAGATATGCTGTGTCTTCATCTCTCTTGAAAACACAGAAACAGTAACTGCAAATGTCTCTGTTAATTACAGCTGATTATTTTGGTTGAATGTTTGAAGCTGGTTAATTGCATTTTGCAAATCTGATCATTGTTAGATTGTATACTTTTGTAATAATTTGATTAGGAACAGTTTTACAAGTTTTGTCTTTTTGCTCAGGTTGAAGACTTTACTGATCATGTTAATAAAACAATGATCTACAACGTCCAGGTAATTCCCAATAGTCCCAAAATAGTCCCAATAATTCTGCTTTATATGCCTTTATACTATTTTTATAATACAGTTAAAAGAATTCCACAGTCAGACAAAAGAAACTTGTATGTTATGATTTATGGTAAATTTTCAGTAAGCTGCCCAGGTAAAGAGTTTGTTTTGGAAAACATATAGTGTCAATAAAAGAGTGTGTTTTGTGCACAAAGTTTTTGTTTGCTGTCAAAGTACAGCTTAAGGTTTTCCGTTTTGAACATCATTTTTTTTCTCCTCCCATTCACAGATGCCAAAAGAAACATAAAGGTCTAAAAATCACAATGACAAAAAAATCAACTCAAAATAATCCCTGCCTATCTAAAAAATCTAAATAATAAAATAAATATCTCTAACTGTATCTATAAAAAGAGACCTGACAAATGCTACATCCTCCAGGAAAAATATTAAATAAAATCAAAATAATAATTATTAAAAAAAAATAATTAAAGAAAAAAGAAAAAGAAACACTGTCTGGGACCAAAGAGTGCAGAGGTTGGTTATAAGAAGTTGGGAATAAAAAGATTATTGTAGTAAGTTTTACAAGAAAATGCGATTTCAAATGTTCATGTTTAATTCAATGCGTTTCTTTGTAAACATTTGAGAAATGTATTAGCAATTTCTGAGGGAGAATTATTTCAAAGTACTTTTTCGGTGTACTAGGCACAAAATATATAGTTTAGTTATTTTGCAAAGTTTGTCATTTTTTATTTTAGTTTGATCATATATGTAACCCACGACTAATTTGTATGTGAAAGAGCACAGATCACGTGAAAGGCGCTTGATAGAGGCGGGCTCTGGTGACGTCAACTGAAAGTCGACCAATAGACGCTTTTGTTTTGCGCTCTCTGATTGGTCCATCGCCAGAGTGAACCGTGAGCGCGTTAGCGTCGCGGAATGTGAGTGGGAGAGTCGACACGAAGAAGGTGAACTGCGTGCGGGACAAACGTGCTCGTTTTGAACCCCCTGATCTGACCTGCCAAATGGATTTTGACCCAGATCAGTGATATGTAGTCACCTTTTCACCGCAGACTTACTTTCAGACCAACTATTGAAGAAGTGACGCCCGTGGATCGATCAGCGGGGGTTTGTTGGAGGCGAAGCCGCGCAGAAATGCTTTGAGGTTGCATAAAGTGGCTGGTAGTGACCGCGACGCGACGCACACCCGCATGAGCGCCACACGGACACTGACACTGCTGCCCAGTCCGGTGCGTCCCGGAGAGAATGAGCCGAGATGAGCCAGAGAGACACACTGGTGCATCTGTTTGCTGGAGGGTGAGACAGCTTTACTCTTCAAGATTACATAAACTACATATCGTTTAATACTTAAAACAGCTAACGTTAGAGTCTAGAACTACTACTATCAATAATAGTAATAATAGTTTATTTTATTTGTTGTAAATTATTTTTTACACTTTACTTTTTATAAATGTTATATACACACACACACACACTGCCGTTCAAAAGCTTTGAGATCAGTGAGATTTTTTTTTAAAGAAGCCTCTTCTGCTCATCAAGGCTGCATTTATTTGATGCAAAAATACAGAAAAAACAGTAATAATCTGAAATATGATTGCAATTTAAAATAATGGTTTTCTATTTTAATATACTTTAAAATATAATTTATTTCTGTGATGCAAAGCTGAATTTAGACAGCTTTACTCTTCAAGATTACATAAACTACATATCGTTTAATACTTAAAACAGCTAACGTTAGAGTCTAGAACTACTACTATCAATAATAGTAATAATAGTTTATTTTATTTGTTGTAAATTATTTTTTACACTTTACTTTTTATAAATGTTATATACACACACACACACACTGCCGTTCAAAAGCTTTGAGATCAGTGAGATTTTTTTTTAAAGAAGCCTCTTCTGCTCATCCAAGGCTGCATTTATTTGATCAAAAATACAGAAAAAACAGTAATAATCTGAAATATGATTGCAATTTAAAATAATGGTTTTCTATTTTAATATACTTTAAAATATAATTTATTTCTGTGATGCAAAGCTGAATTTTCAGCATCATTACTCCTGTCTTCAATGTCACATGATCCTTCAGAAATCATTCTTAAATGCTGATTTATTATCAATGTTGGAAACAGTTTTGCTGCTTAATATTTTTTTGGAACCTGTGATACTTTTTAAGGATTATTTTATTAAAAATAGAAATTCTTTAACAATATATACTACCGTTCAAAGTTTTTTTTTTTTTTTAAAGAAATTAAGGCAAGGATGTGTTAAATTAATAAAAAGTGATAATAAACACTTAAATTGTTAGAAAATATTTCTATTTTGAATAAATGCTGTTCTTTTTTACGTTTATTAAGCAGCACAACTGTTTCCAACATTGTTAACAAATCAGCATATTAGAATGATTTCTGAAGGATCATGCGACACTGAAGACTGGAGTAATGATGCTGAAAATTCAGATTTAAATCACAGAAATAGCCTTTAAATGAGCTCTTTAATTAGCTCTTTAAAACACAATAAAAATCTTACTGAGTCCAAACTTTTTATATGTATATATATATATATATATGTATGTATGTGTGTGTGTATATACAGCAACTATTATTTTTAGTTTTTAGATTATAAATTTTTCATATTAAAGATATAAAATAATTTTTTATCGTGTGTGTGTGTTTTTTTTTTGTATGTTTTGTATTATAACATTTTCTCATGTTTGAAAGTTTTGAAAGGTTACAATTACTGGAGGTTGTTGTTTTGCCAAGGCTTCTTAACTTTCCTTTTGAGTTTTATGTGTTAAAATAAGGGAATATTAGCAATTTTGTTATGACCATATTTTCAGTTTATTTGGCATCTGTATGTGTTTTTATTTATTTATTTAAATGAAAAAAGAAAGAAAAAAAACCTGTACCCCATGCTATTGCCGTTACCATCACACCAACCATTTTAGAGAACAATTGAGTTTTTGTTTGGTTATGATGGACATGAGAAGCGTCAGCTGATCCGGCAGGGTGACAGATTGAGAGTTTGAAGATCAATTCAGATTTTAGTTTTTCTTAGAGTAGCTTTATTAATTGTCATTACAAAAATTCTGAATTTTAATTCAGAGACAATATATTCCTATTTATTTATATATGATTGACGTTAATTACCGTATTGGCCCGAATATAAGACGACCCTGCACTCGTTTTATGCGTATTTGGCGCCACCTATTGTTGTGGGTGTATTATTGACATGTCAAAGTCTAGACCCTGAATATAAGACGACCGCGTTTTTTCAGATGTATTTCGAAGAAAAAAACATCGTCTTATATTCGGGTCAATACGGTAGGTGCTAATTAACTTGTTTCTCCAAACACTGAAAAGATCATTACCATAACACAATATACCAAAGTCTACTCGAAGCTCGATCAAAGCTGTGATGATGAGATCTTTTTTCAGTGCAATGCAGTATAGTTTACATTGATAATATGTTTACATTCCCACTATGTATATACTGTACATACATAAAGGAGGTCTGATTGCTCCACACATCCAATATGTTTGCGTTTCCCAGGAAGAATAAATCTGATGTAACACAGGAACTGACAGCTGTTATAGAGTCATTTAGGGCTGATAATGACTCTTGATGACACAATCTTCACTCAATGAATCACTGATATATAGACATTCAGCTTGATTCTGAAACAGACAGAAACATAAGACCGTTTAGCAGGTACTTTTAGCAAGTACTTACGTTTGGCATTTTCCACTGCCAGTCTTAAAATGGTCTTTCGGGAAAATCGTTAAAAAGTAAAAAATTAAGAAAAAAACCATTGAAATAAAATCGTTCTGGATAAGGGTACCGTATCACTGTTTAATCATGTTAACGTTACTCCTATTTAAGCAAATGCTTTTATATTAAAGTGAGGAAAAATAAAAACCGAATGTATCTATTAAATTAAGTCATGCTAATAGTGTAGTAAACCGTGATAAATTGATTATGTAAGGCCACCCCCCCAACCCCCCAGAACAAAATGTTAGTTCTGCCCTGAATTCGTGCCATTATTTGTGGTTGACAGAGCTGCCTTCAAACTTTTCTGGTTGACCAACGCAAGTGAGGTGCAATTAAATACTTAACTTGCTAGAGCATAGTGCTATCACAAACAAGTGGGATTTCTTTGGAGTTTTGTGTGGCGTTTAATAAATCTTTCAGAAGCCTAAAGCATTCATCTATGATCTCCGCTAGGGCTGCACGATTAGTCGAATGCGATTGTCATGCGCATTTTGATAGTAATGCCGGTTCTGTAATCAGCAGGAACTCATCATCACGTGCTTTCAGATGGAGCAGAATTTACTACACATAGCCGTAGTTCACTGACAAGTTACGCAAAAAAATCGCAAATCGCAAAAATCGATACTGACAGCTGTTTGCATAGCTTCTCAGTGAACTACGGCTCTGTGAAGTAAATGCTGCTCCATCTGAAAGCATGTGAAAATACCACATTTAATAACATGTTTTTACTCCAAACTCACTTCATAACATCAGTTGAGTGTTTGAAATAAATCCTTCTGTGAGATGATGTGGCTTCTTACAGAGAATAAGGCACGCAACATATTTCATAGTTTTTAAGCAGTGATAAAGGCATTGCATTATAAATATACTTTATTTTAATGAAAATTATAATAATAAGAACTCAGATAAACCGTATATTGCCGTAGTTGTGTGTTTTTTAGTCACGTTGAATCAATGAAAGCAGTTGAATCTTCTGTTTATTCAGCTGCAGCGATAGGCATTTCCTGGGTTTCTTCTGCGAGGCGTATTTGGAGTTTCAGCGCGAGAGCGCCCTCTGGCCTTTGGATGGAGATTTACTGCTGATCACAGAACCGTGCTTCACTGAAAGATACGCATTACAATCGCAGCTTCTGTCGAATCACGATCTCGATTCCATTTCGATTTATCGTGCAGCCCTAATTTCAACATATGTTTGATGCAGTATAGTTTACATTGATAATATGTTTACATTCCCACTATGTATATACTGTACATACATAAAGGAGAAATATATTTATATTACAGTCTATGTAGAGAGAGAAACCTCAGGATATTTACGTTCTTATTCTTTAAAAAATATTTCTGATGCAGTATAGTTTACATTGATAATATGTTTACATTCCCACTATGTATATACTGTACATACATAAAGGAGGTCTGATTGCTCCACACATCCAATATGTTTGCGTTTCCCAGGAAGAATAAATCTGATGTAACACAGGAACTGACAGCTGTTATAGAGTTATTTAGGGCTGATAATGACTCTTGATGACACAATCTTCACTCAATGAATCACTGATATATAGACATTCAGCTTGATTCTGAAACAGACAGAAAATCAGCAAGCACAAACAAACCTAAATATAAAGAACGCATTGTGGTTTGCAGTATGACGTTGCATAATTTAGCACTGCCGTCCCAAGAGACCTTGAATCCAGACACACTGATGTTTATATTACAGTCTATGTAGAGAGAGAAACCTCAGGATATTTACATTCTTATTCTTTAAAAAATATTTCTAGACCTAAAAATAAAATGGAAGGTTTAAATCTTTATTCTTTAGTAATACTTTAACAGCAAGAATGTGATTTTATAAGTGACAGTCATAGGTTTCTGGAATGATCTGTTACGGTAGTGTGTTTTCCTGAAGTGGCATGAGGGAATCATCATGCCTGGCATTGATATTCAGTACACAGTGATTGTAGCCTGTGCTCTAAATATCTGTCCTCTGATAAACCAGTGCAGTTTAAAATAGAACTATTGACTGGCACTCTCTTGAACTCTCTTGTCTACATGATACTGTCAAAAAAACTGGCTTTTTATCCCATCTTTATGTCCCATATTAGTAACTGCACAGTACTGCATTCCATTTTATCTTACAGTGTTTTCATATATTAAAATAACAATCAAAAGTACCATGGTATTGCTATATGGTACTTTTTTTTTTTACATGCAGTAAATGACACCTTTTTTTGATTTATTATCTTTGTCTAATAAGCTGTTCCTCAACAACATTTCTGTAGCTTTAGATTTGTATCACATGCATCACACCACATTTCAGATGCCGTTTTTCCATTGGAAGACACTGATATCAGGTTGTTTTTGGCAGGTGAGGGTTGGTTTGGGTTACTGTGTTTGCTGACCCACATCTCGCGGCACGAGTGCAAGTGTTGGAGCCGATTAACGGCAACTCACCTTTCACATTAGAGTTGAAATTCTATCATCTGTGTTGTGATGCTCGACTGAAGTCTCGTGGCTTTCAGATAAGAAGTCATGGGATGAATGCCCTACATTGTTAGGTCAAACTTTTGACCGCTATTGACAGAATTTGACCATATTTTCAACATAATTTCTTTTAATCAATTATGTGCACTGTCTCTGCCTTTTCTCTGTTTCTCTCAGATGTGGAGGCACGGTGGGTGCGATCCTGACCTGTCCGTTAGAGGTGGTGAAGACGAGGCTTCAGTCTTCCTCAATAACGCTCTGCATCTCTGAGGTGCATCTGAGCACAGTTAATGGAGCCAGCGTGTCACGTGTGGCCCCTCCGGGGCCCCTTCACTGCCTCAGGTACGTTTAAACAAGTTAGACCTCTTTACATTTTGTGCAGTGCATGCATACACATTGCCTTCTTTTATTCTGTAAGTACACTAACAAAAAAGTACCATGCTATTTCCATGTTTTTTGGACATTAACTATGGTAAAATCATGATATTCTTTGAATTACAATGAAGTACCATACTGTGGTACAATACTGAGGTACATAAATATATTATTCAATTACTATATTTATATAATAATTATATTTTATACATCAATTCTATATTATATATATTTATGTTTTAGTTCTGGATACAGGCAACACCCTGTACTGGAACAGTGCGAATGTTACATCTGCATTGTGAGGATGTTGAGTCTGCGTTGCATGAGCTCAGGGTTTCGTAAACATTTGCTCTATGGTTTGTGGGCCTAAAACCAAGTGTCCATCTTCCCTGCCAGAGGAAACGCCCCCTTTCTGTCGACTCTTTCCAAAAATGTGGTCATATTTCTTTAGTACACCACCAAATGTGACTAAATAAAGTCAGAAGACGAGACAAAATAAGGAACGTTGGTTTGCAACATAAAAATTTTGATTCCAGTTGGTTCAGCATATATAATATATAAATATATACATTACCAAAGCAGAAGTTCAGTGTTTATACAGCGCATACTGCATAAAGTCTATAATGCCCTCTCTTTGCTTTGCTTTGTTTTCTTTATAAAGAGACTGTTCACAGTGGTTTCCACTCCCCCTTACCCAACCAATCACTGCCCTCACACTAAAACACTGCGTCCTGGTGCTTGGCTCTCGGTTGATGTGTGTGTGTGTGTGTGTGTGTGTGTGTGTGTGTGTCTGAATCACTGGCTCTCAAAACGGGCCCCTTGTCCTCATAGTTTAACTCGGGTTATACATCACAGAAAGGTACCAAAATACTAAACACAAAGACATTTAGATCGACTTTGGTCTCGTTTATTAATTTAATACGGTTAGTAAATGACTCTGACATCATATACACTCCTTCACGGTTTATGGCTTGTTACACAACCTGTCCATGTTGGCATCTGTCTATTTTGGCTTTTTGACACCTGAAATTGCATCTTAGTATTGTAGACTTTGATTGGACACATGTACTTTGATGTCAACAACAAAAGGTATGGGAAGTGTTTTTGCCTCCTTTTTAAAAGTTGATAAGTTTAATAACAATTATGCCAAATTACACCCAATTACATGGGTAGTTGCTTTTTATTATTTCCATCTAGCATTGTTTTCTTGCCTGATGTCCATTACCTTATGTGGCCCATTTTTCTGTCGGAACCTGCCAGTTGCGAACCACTAGGGTTAAAGAATAAATGGAGTATTAAGATTGTATATAATGAAGTCCAAGATGGAATATAAATAACATCATTCATTTGATTTAATCTTTCTTTAGCTTCTCTTTATGACTTTCTTTTATACTGTATGTGTGTGATGCCAATAAGCTCTCACACGCCAATAAGAGGAATTTCTTTGTTTGAACACGTTCTTCAGAGGTGTGTCTTATTGGCTGATCGAAAGATTAAAAAATATTTTGGTGATTCTCACAAAGAAATGTTTGGGTTATATTTCACTCCAAAACAAATCGGCTCATTTATATAGCAAAATATTGTTCCAACAGCTTTACATAGAATAAAAATGAATAAATAAATGTTTTCATAATCAAATTGTGGCCTGCTTATAGGGCCGCTAAGTTTTATTTGGTGTCATTTTCATGACAATTAAGCCCCCATTTTATCTATAAATATAGTTCAACAAGCAATATTATTGTTATTATTTTTGCATAAGAATTTGGTTAAATACCAATTTGCTTGAATTGCTTAATTGTTATGAATATGAAGTCACAATGAAAAAATCTTAAATGTTCTTACATTAGAATTCATTTTCATGCTCAATAAAATTTTGGAGTGAAACATAAGACATATCCCCCAAATATTTCCCAGGAACAACATTACATGTTTTACCAACTCCAGACTTTTGTCAACATAATGTTCACAAAGCCATTCAGAACAAAAGTGTCATTTTGGTACGTTTGCCATGCACTTCTGTTGATATGTTTCTCTCTCTGTCTTTCTCAGATTAATTCTTGAGAAGGAAGGCCCTCGTTCTTTATTTCGGGGCCTGGGGCCCAATCTAATTGGAGTGGCTCCTTCACGGTGAGTGTTTGTCCATTCATACAGTTAAACAGGCAGATCAAAACATCTTTATCTCAGCAAGCATTTACAGTAAGAGCGTGTAGTCCTGAGCTGTGTGTGCTGAAGTGATGTGAGTCTGACTGCAGTGTGACTGATGCAATCCCTGCTCAACCGGTAAAGCTGCAAATTTACAGAGCTTGGAAAAAACACACAGACACAAGTCTGAATTCAGCATTCAGTTTAGGGTTATTTTACAGGTCAGACATCAGTTGAAATTGAAAAGATAGTTTGCCCAAAAATGAAAATTCTGTCATTATTTAATGGCCTACATGTTGTTCAAATCCTGTATGACTTTCAACTTTAGAACTGAATAGATATTTTGAGAAATGACTCTGTGTTTTTTGACTGTCCAAACAATGAAAGACTAAATATCTTCTTTTGTGTGCCACAGTTTTGGGTGAACTGTCCCTTTAAGACTTGAAAAGTACATATAGAGTTTTAGTTCCATCAGTCCATTGGTTAAGAGCTTCAGGATACTACATGTGCAAACATTTGCGGTTACATGCGAGGGTTTGTGAGGAACATGCTGTCCTTGTGAGCTGCCTACGTAGGCATCATAGTCACCCAATGGGCGTTTCAGAAGGCGGGGAGCAAAATTATGTTGTATTTGGCAGCTTTGCATTTATTATTTGGAAAAATCTAGCTTAGCTTTGGTATTTGTGTTTGGAACATGGTAGATGGTTTCTAGCTGGTCTGAGCTGGAAATGAGCTGGTCTTTGATTAGTTGACGAGCCAGCTTGTTCAAAAACCCACCTTAAACTAGTATGAGGTTGGTTTGTTGCAGATAATGTCCATCTTGGTCTTCATGTCCAGCTTACCTGCTGAAAAGAGCATCTTAAACCAGCCTAAATGGTTTAGTCAGTCTCCCAGCCTGGCTAAGATTTACTAGTTGTGTTTAGAACATGGTAGATGGTTTCTGGCTGGTCTCAGCTGGAAACTAGCTGGTCACCAACCAGCTTGTTTCAAAACCCACCTTGAACTAGTATGTTAGTTTGTTGCAGATAATGACCTACATGGACCAGCTAATGACCAGTTTTCCTGCTGCAAAGAACATATTAAACCAGCCTAAATGGTTTGCTCGGTTTAGTAAGTCTTCCAGTCTCGCCGATATGATGTTAATCAGATCATTTCTGTATTTTATTGAAAAAAATAAAATAAATCAAGGCTATGAAAACCAAATATAAATTTATGAATGTGAACAATTCTGTAAAAATGCATTTATTCTCTTGAAAAATCATTATCTTTGTTACTTGTGTTTGGAACTTGGTAGATAGTTTTTAGCTGGTCTAAGATAGAAATTAGCTGGTCACCTCCAACCAGCTTGTTTCAAAACCCACCTTAAACTAATATGAGGTTAGTTTGTTGCAGATAATAAATGACTTGGACCAGCTAATGACCAATTTTCCTCCTGAAAAGAACATTTTAAGCCAGCCTAATTGGTGATTTGCTTGTCTTGGCTGGTTTAGAAAGTCTCCAGTCCAAACCTGGCCAAGATGATGTAATCAGATTAATCCTCCTGAAAAGAACATTTTAAGCCAGCCTAATTGGTGATTTGCTTGTCTTGGCTGGTTTAGAAAGTCTCCAAACCTGGCCAAGATGATGTAATCAGATTAATCAGATAATTGGTAAATGGTTTAGTAAGTCTCCAAGCTTGGCCAAGGTGGTGTCCAGCTGGTTTATCTGGTTGGCATCCTGGTCTCCCACACTGACCAAAGTGGCCAAAACCAGCCTGACCAGTCTGTTGTAGTTCAGTAGGGTGTAATAGCGTTGTGTGTTGTTACTCATGTGTCCTGCTGTGTTTTCAGGGCCATCTACTTCGCCGCCTATTCCAGCTCAAAGGAGAGACTGAACTGTGTGTTTGAGCCAGACTCCACGCAGGTGCACATGACGTCTGCTGGGATTGCAGGTAACTTTGAGCATGCAATCCAACTACATCCTGTTTCCTCGGTTTTGATGGGATCATAAAATATAAACCGTTTACTGCTTAATTGCATGTGTCGATTTGTCCAGCGGATTGGAATTGCAACTTTTTCCTTTTGTTCCATTCTGTATCTCTGAGTAACAGGCTAATAAATATCACAGCGCTCAAGCACTCAATAAAGATCTGGCACACGGCCAGAAGAGAATGTATGTGTGTGTGTGTGTGTGTTGGTCTCCTGTCACCTGGACTTTTGCCAAGGAGGATTTAGATTAACGCTCGTACTATGCTAGAGTTTTGTTACACCTTTAAGCTGCTTTTTCATTGTTTATGAAGATGATAGACAGAAAGTCATTCAACTTCAGAAGAAAATCATGTGAGGAGTGCAGTATTGGTTGAAAACTAGGGCTGTAACTCTGAGCTGCAATGTTTTCCTCCAAACAATGTGCAAATTCAGTGCTATAAAAAAAAAAATATATATATATATAGTTAAACTATGCTCACACTGTGCAAAGATATAAACAAAAACAAATGTTTAGTCCAGTTTTAAAGCAGCAGGACACTTTGAATCAAGTTTTGAATGACAATAAAGAAAAACAAGAACGCAAATTGCAAATAAATATGGTTAATTTTAAACCTAAATGTAATGTTCAACAACAACTATTTTATCAAAATGAATTTGGATGATTTTACTAAAAAATGATTGCACTGCCTGCTGTTGTTTAATAGTTACATGCTTGCTCTCAGGACGGCCCTTTATGTAAAACCGAAATATTCAAAAGTGTTTAAAAGTTTGAGGTTGATAAGATTAGATTTATTAGTGTTTTTGAAAGAAGTCTCTTATGTTTACTAAGACTGCATTTATTTGATCAAAAATACAGTAAAAACAGTGATATTTTGAGATGATTACAATTTAAAATGTTTTCTATTTGAATATATTTTAAAATCACATGATCTTTCAAATCATTCTAATATGCTGCTCAAGGAATATTTCTTATTAATATCAGTGTCGAAAACATATGCTTCATATTTTTGTGGAAACCATGATATATTTTTTCATGATTCATTGATGAATAAAAAGTTCAAAAGAACAGCATTTATTTGAAATGGAAATCTTTTGTAACAATGCAAAGGTCTTTACTGTCAATTTAATGCATCCTTGTTGAACAAAAGTATTCATTTTTCAAAAAAAAAATTTTAATAAAAAATCTTACCAACCTCAAACTTTTGAATAGTAATGTGTTATAAAAAAGTTAGTGTATGAAAGTAGCTAATTTAGCTAAATATCTGTTAGTGTGTGAAAGTTTGCGCTCATTTCTCTTTAGTAAATTTAAATCTTAATCTTTCCTCTTCTACTTCCATCAGGGTTCACGGCTATAACAGCAACCAACCCAATTTGGTTAATTAAGACACGTCTACAATTGGACGCCAGGTAAATGCAAACAGATATGTGGCATTATACAAGTAGATTATAATTTTAACATGACCTAGTGCTTATTATATATGATTCCAGACTAAGTTTTGTAATTGACTCTGCACAGGAAACGCGGGGAGCGTCGCATGAATGCATTTGAGTGTGTGCGGCGCGTGTATCAGACGGATGGTCTACGTGGGTTTTACCGCGGCATGTCTGCTTCTTATGCGGGCATCTCAGAGACTGTGATTCACTTTGTGATCTATGAAAGCATAAAACGACGTCTTTTAGAGGCCAAAGCAGCAACGCACATGGATGGGGCCGAGGACACAGCCAAGGACGCGTCGGACTTCGTGGGCATGATGCTGGCAGCCGCCACTTCCAAGACCTGCGCCACATCTATAGCCTATCCACACGGTGAGCATGTGCATTTACCATCAGAGCATCTAGAAGTCAACATAAAACATCATCCACAACGTATTTTACTTCCATAATATTACATACACTACGGTTCAAAAGATTTGAATACTTTTATTCAGCAAGGATGCATTAAAGGGATAGTTCACCCAAAAATCATGTTGTTCCAAACCCCGTAAGACCTCCGTTCATCTTCGGAACACAAATTAAGATATTTTTGATGAATTCTGAGAGCTCTCTGACCCTCCCATAGACAGCAAGGGTACTACCACGATCAAGGCCCAGAAACATATCAAGGAGATCGGTACAATAGTCCATGTGACATCAGGGGTTCAACCGTAATTTTACGAAGCTACGAGAATACTTTCTGAGCGCAAAAGAAAAAAAAGTAACGACTTTATTTAACAATTCATCTCCTTGCCCTAGTGCCATTTTGGAGAGTATCCACTGAATGTAAACTGCGTATACTCCGTGTCAGCTGTGCAACGCGGATACGTTGTTTATATCATTTACGCTTTGATTTGAACGAAAACACCGTATCCGCGTGACGCAGCTGACACAAAACAGTATACGCAGTTTACGTTCAGTGGATACTCTCCAAAATGGCTCTAGGGTGACGCGGAGGAGACGAATTGTTGAATAAAGTCGTTTTTTTTTTACTTTTGCGCTCAAAGTATTCTCGTAGCTTCGTAACTTCAGTTTGATCAATTTCACAGAAAGCAAGTTTTGCTTCTCAAGTAACTATATCTTGATTTAAGAATCTTAAGACGTGTGAACTGGAAAATAAGACAAAAATACTGAGGAAGAATACTTTAAAAAAAATATATATTTTTTTTTTTGCAGTGTGATCAGAAGGTAGTAAAAGTTATGGCAATATTCTATTGATTGGGAACAGTTCTTTTAAATTGCAATAACATTTTATTTTCAATAACATTTGTAATGAAATAAATGCAGCCTTGGTGAGCATAAGAGACTTCTTTAAAAAAAAAAAAACATTAAAAAATCTTTCTGACCTTAAATGTTTGAATGGTATATAAAAATTAAAAAGGGAGACAAACAGTATCATTTTGGGTTTCAAGTTTCACTATTAATAGTTTGTAACCAATTCTGAGCATATTTGTTTTTCTGTTTGGTTCTGCAGAGGTTATCCGCACACGGCTAAGGGAAGAAGGTACCAAGTACCGCTCGTTCTTCCAGAGTCTCAGCCTGGTGATTAGAGAGGAAAGCTATCGAGCTCTTTACCGAGGACTCACCACACATCTGGTCAGACAGATCCCCAATACAGCCATCATGATGTGCACCTACGAGTTCGTCGTCTACCTGCTTGATGGCTAAACTTTAACTTGAGGTGCCTCAGTATTCATGGACGAAGAGTTCTGTGGTTTCATTCACAATTTGGGAGTGTCTTCTGAGAGGAAGGTGTTAGGAGAAAAAGGAAAATGACTGAAAAGGTTGTGTCTAGAAAGCAATGTTCTCGTTTCTTGGTTTTCCTTAACTTTCTGTCTTTTAATGTTGCTTAAAATGCTGCTGCTTCTAAAAAGCCTTGACAGTCAGTTCACCTTTAGCCTCCTCAGAGTTCGTTTTTACATCTCAAACAGCACTTCACGTCAGATAGATCTTGTATGTGGATTCAGCAGGTTATTTCTGTCAGAGAAGCTGTTCTTATGTTGGCAGGTGTTTGAGGGGTTTGTCGGCATCATTGCGATGCTATGATGGCGATCAAAGCTTCACTGGATTTTCTCGAGATTTGAGCTGGAAAGGATTTGGAGAGGATCCAATCTGAGGCTTACAACCATGCAATGCAAAAGCAAAAAGATCTGATGCATATACCTGACACTGTGTGCACATGTATGCAAAAACAGATGTCTAAGAGTCTGTTTAGTTGTTTTAACACCGTACAGGTGATTGTGTGCTAGTCTCAGAGTGTCATATTTGTCCGTTTATTCCCGTTATTGTGTGTTTGTAGCCCCTATTTAACCTTAACACATGAATGTAACAATCATTGCAGCCAAAATAGGTTGTTGGCACAAAAAAACTTTAATACATATATGTACTCAGCAGCAGAATTATTAATGAAAGAAGGTAATGAATAATGATAAAGAAATAATCATTTAAAATTTTAAAAAAGAAAAAGAAAGAAAAGCAAGTATTATGCAAGCAAGCCATTGCACTGTAACACAAAATACGTTTTTTTTTTGTCGCCATGTTGTTGACCCCATCCCAAAAACGCACATTGAACACACAAAAAATAAAAAAATCAAAGGCCGCTGTGCTAAATGCCATAGAAAAGAGTCTCTGCAAAAGAAAACAGCATTTTTGTCGTTTTGCAGTAAAAATACCAAGAAATCCTTTGAATAAGATCAGTTTGCTTGAGAAGCAAAATTGCATTAGATATTAAGACGTTTTTAGACAGTATATCATGAATTAAACTATTTTTAACATTAGTAATTTTAATGATTACAATGTATTAATACTTCATCTTTATAACTTAAAGTATAAATCTGTTTTGTTAGATTTATACTCGACTCATTGGCAAATTTCGTTTTATTTTGTTAAGAAAAAATTGCAGTGTATATTTACTGAGAATGTCTTTATATCTATCTGTATTTATATTCTAATCATATTTATATTTTTGTTTCTCAATTTCAAGTAAATTGATCTTGTTATAAGAATGTTTTAGTTTTTTTTTTTCAGGAAAACAAGACAAATAAAGATTTTTTTTTGCATTGCAGACAGAAAAACATAAAATATTGTCAAAATTCATGTTTTTCTTTATGATGCAGTTTTGTATCTCGTTCTCTCACTCTTTTATGCCTCCATATGTCACAAGCCCAGTGTTTAGTTTAGTTTTTTTCTTTCAGTGTTTGGTTTTGTTTACAGTCAGTTTGGTGTGACCTGCTCTGTTGTCACTGTTCATTATGACATTGATATTCAGCAGATGGAAAATAAATGCATCTAAGAAAACAAAGAAGAACATGTATATTTTGGGTTGGATGGAGATTTTGGGTTTTGTCTTAGAGATATGACTCTCACTGAACAAAAGTTAGACATTTCTGAATTGTGTGTTTTTACTGTGTTGTTAGACACGGCCTCCTTTACACTGCTGTTTTTCTTTGCTTTATTTTTATTTTCTCACATGCACTGAGGAATTTTGTTTGACATATGGAAAATCAGGAAATGTGTGTGTGAATTCCAGTGACACAAAACTTACTTTAAACTTGTTACACGAGTGGTTCAGCATTCACAGGTCCAAACGGCTGTAGTTTGGGTCAGATCTGCACGCGAGGAAACAACTTGTTTAATTGTCCAAGCAGGTAAGAAATTAAATATGGAGCTAATTGTTTTAGATTTGAAAAAGGAAAAAGTCCTAATCAGTTAAAGAATGCTTAAATGTAAGCAGACGTGCTTATCAGTTCCTTTAGAGTTTTTTATACTTTTATTTAAATAACTACACAAAAGGTCAGGCAATTTTGTACACTGACAAAAAAGTCGGTGTAAAAAAAATCACTTATAAATTGCTAGTAAAAATAAGCCGCAGGTAATTATTACAAAGGATCAGCAAGTAACATTGAGTTCAAGAGTTTGTTTTTCTCAAGTTTCGCTCAGATATATAGGCTGACATCAAAATAGACATTCAGTCAGCTTAGGTGCCATATTGAATTTAATACCCATGAAAACGAGGATGTGAGGGATAGGCTTACAATGGCACGCACCGTATTAATTTTCAAGACTCGCACCTGTCAAGACTTTTATGGAGTTTTTGTCTATAGAAACTGTCAGATGTTTTTCAGAAATACGTTTCAGCTGAAATAGAGAATGTCTGAACAACAGTCCAATCCACTGAACGCACTGTACTTCAGTCCCTCACAGCCTTCATTCCTGTCAAAAAAAAGTTACATTTGGCGCTACCTTGACTGTAAGGCCTATTGAAGCCCGTTTCTGCCACTGAATAAAAATAAAAAAGGTAATTGCGACTTTTTATCTTACAATTCTGACCGGTTTTTCACCCTCATAATTGCGTGATACAACCTCGAGTTTTTATCACGCAATTGTGTCTTTATATCTCGCAATTGCGCGTTTATATCTCACAATTCTGTGAAAAAAAAAGTCGCAACAACCTTTTTAAAAAATCTTTATTCAGTGGCGGAAATGGGCTTCCATAATAAAGCTGATGATACACGAGGCAACTTTTTGAGCAATGTTGCTGTTAACGAGCAACCAGGTGAGACACGGGGCCCACGACCGATCTAAAGTATCCAGATAGACATTTGTTACCCATTCTCAAGTGCCCAAGCAGCATCGCTCAAAAAAAGTTGCCCCGTGTATCATATCAGCCTAAGGGCTATGAGTAACAAAAGGCTATTGCTATTGCGACTTTAGCTAGGCCCGGCCCAGGAGGACAGATTTGATATCATTACGTCATCGCGAATGACGTCAGTACGTTAGGGCGTAAAATAACAGATGAACCGGTTTTTTGAACCGGTTTATTGAAACGAACTGTCCGAAAGAACCGGTTCGCGGAAAAGAACCGGACTTCCCATCACTACTAGGCCTACATGCTGACGAGAAAAAAAGTGACATTTTGAGGTATAAAGTCAAAAATAAAATTTTCTTGTAAAACGTTCCAAAAGCTAATTTTTATTTACAACTTCGAAAGACAATTCTACTGAAGAAGAACACTCTGATAGCAGAGATGATGGAGACGCTGCAGAAGACGTCTCTACAAACGGCTGCTGTGGAGTGTGATGTTTGCACTACAGAGAAGAGCAGAGCTGTAAAGTCCTGTCTGCAGTGCTTGGCCTCCTTCTGTCAAACTCACCTGCAGCTTCACTATCAATCTCCTGCGTTTATGAAGCACAAACTAGTCGAAGCCTCCAGATTCATTCAGGAGAACATCTGCCTCAGTCATAAAAAACCTCTGGATATTTTCTGTCAGGATGACCATCGATACATTTGTTATTTGTGTATGATTGACAGTCATGTAAACCACAATATGGTATCTGTGGATTCAAAATGGACTAGTAAAAAGGTAATGAATGCTATTTTCAGGTAGTTGTCATTTTTTCCCTGAGTTGATAGTTATTTATTTTAATTAATTAAATTACTAGGATAATAGAACACATCATATTACTTGATATTTAACAATTACAAGATGAGATTGGCACGGTGTGTATTTCTACTTTTGTTATTTAATGATTTTGTATGTTAACATCCTCAGGAAGAGTTAAAGGAGATAAACGTGGCGTGTCAAAAGCTGATCCAGGAGCGAGAGAGAGGTCAGCAAGATCTCAGTGAAGCTGTGAAATCTTTTAAAGTGAGTAAATGGGGGAGAAAAGAGAATAAAACAATAAATGCAATGCATCATATTAATACAGAATCCTACAGACGACCTTTAGTGAAATTTGCATGCATGAAAAAAAAAACTAGATCGAAATTGTTTTTGTGTGCACACAAACACCTTTTTGTTTTATTTATTTATTTTCAGAAACATCACTTTAAATGTGGGGTAAGCAATTTCTAGTAGCCAATGTTGACATTTGAAATCACCAAAACAAACACCCCCTACCCCAAAAGGGTCTTGCCCCTATTTTGATAGATTGGATTGATAAAGTTTTTGAACCTTTAAAACTAATCCAGGCAACATCTTTTTATTTTGCAAGATTCATTTATGATAATGGAATAATACATTTGATTTAATTGATATTGGTCACATAAATACAGTATTTAGGCTGTTGTTCCTGTCCAACAGAGTTCAGCACAAGAGGCCGTGGAGAACATTGAGAAGGTCTTCACTGAGCTCATCTGCTCTCTGGAGAAGAAACGCTCTGAGATTAAAGAGCAGATCAGAGATCAGGAGAAGACTGAGATAGATCGAGCAGAGAAACTTCACAAACATCTGGATCAAGAGCTGACAGAACTCAGACAAAGACAAGCAGAGATTGAGAAACTTCTGATTAGTGATGATCAGATCCAATGTCTGAAGGTAATGATGCAAAAATGTTAAGAATCTATTAAATGAATCTCCAATGTGTCATGCTTGTTTTGTGTTTTATAAAAAATCTATTTTGTTTCACTAAATAAGTCTGAAGTATTTTTCTCATTTCAGAGCTGTCAGTCTGTGTGTGTTTTACCCTCATATGAAGATGTTCCCAGCTTCACTCAACACACTCATCTGTCTTTTAAAGACATTTCAATCTCAGCATTCAGAGAGGTTTTGGAGGACGTCTGTCAACAGCAAACAGCCAGAATGTCTCGAGAAGGTCTGAATCTTTTAATATGTTGTATTGTCATTCATACTCTGTAGGAGTTAACCAACAAATTAACCATGTACTTGTTTGGTTTTCTCTCTTCAGTGTCAAATGTCCATGTTGCAAAGACTCCAGAACTAAAGACCCAAAATGATTTTTTGCAGTGTAAGTTGAACTTCAAGGCAAACACTCATTAACTGATAAACATCAGTGGATATGAACTGTTACCATCATGTGACCATTTTGAAACCAAATTTGTTCAAATTAATTTTTTATTCATTCCTCCTCCTCAGATTTCTGTCAACTTAACTTGGATCCAAACACTGCAAACAAAACCCTCAAACTGTCAGAAGAGAACAGAAAAGCATCAAGTTCAGATAAAATCCAGCAATATCCTGATCACCCAGAACGATTTGATGATAAGTTTCCCTACATCTTGTGTAGAGAGGGTTTGTACGGTCGCTGTTTCTGGGAGGTTGAGTGCAGTGGGAACAACTGGGCTGTAGCAGTTTGTTACAAAGGAATTGGTCGTAAAGGAAACAGTGGTGATGACTGTAAACTTGGCTTGAACAAAATATCCTGGAGATTGGGCTATTATCTACAGAATTTCTGTTTCATGCATGGTAAAGCACAGGTCCGTATCCCTCCTTCCTCTAGAATAGGAGTGTATCTGGATCACAGAGCAGGAACTCTGTGCTTCTACAGCGTCTCTGACACAATGACTCTACTACACAGAGTCCAGACCACATTCACTGAACCCCTCTACCCTGCATTTTTTGCTGCGTTGGGTTCATCTGTCAGGATTATAGAGCAGAGGAAAGTTAAAAAAGGCGAAATATAAAAACAGAATGTATGACAAAGTTTTACCATAAATCATCTCAACACATTTATTGAATGGTTTTGCTCTCATTAATCTTGACTTAATGATATGAAAATCAACATTGTATGATTTATTCCATCAGTTTAGAAATTAAAAGGTCTTCCATTATGATAATGACCTGTAGATTTATTTCATTTGGGATACTAAATTTTAATATGGGATTTGTAGTGGGAAGAGCGGTTTATTAAAGGGGTCATGTGATGCGATTTCAATTTTTCCTTTCTCTTTGGAGTGTTACAAACTCTTGGTGCATAAAGAAGATCTGTAAAGTTGCAAAGACTAAAGTCTCAAATCCAAAGAGATATTCTTTATAAAAGTTAAGAGTCAGCCACACCTACCTAAAACGGCTCATTCTAACACGCCCCCACATGTCTACGTCACGATGTGGGAAGATTTGCATAACGCTGCCCAAATGTTCACGCAAAGAAAGAAGGCATAACTGTTATTCTAGCTGTAGTATTGTTGTTGCCGCTGCTGCCATGTCGTGGAGTCGCGTTGTGAAAGCGAAACTACTTTGTTTGGTCTTCCAAAAGAGGACACGACTAGAAATCAGTGGTTAAGTTGTATTTACAACACTGTTCCAGAACACTTCAACCCAAATATTCAGATGTGTGCTGCGCATTTTATGGAGGATGGATGAGGACCGTTTCCTGAACCAGTAGCCTAATGCGTCTGTGGCACAAAGGCTGTTTCTATAAAGTTGGGCAGTTCCAACTTAGCAAGGACAGTCTGGCACTTCTGACTCACAGCCTGTAAGTACGTTTTAAATAATCGTTTAAACATTTAAATAATTTGCCAATGATGATTCAAACGCGAGTTTTGGGCAGTGTAGAGTAGGCTTGTTGTTTCTCCGATCACAAATGCAGACATGGTTTTATGTTTTTATGATATCCCGAGTTATTCAGTTACTCCTAACAGTACATTGACTGAACTGCTAAAAGAGAACCGATGATGGGATGTGCACAAGCAGAGCAGCTGGACTGAGTCTCTCGTCCTGCTGGGACACGGCTTAAGGGGCGTAACATTTACGTCACACGAACGAGGTATTCAGCCAATCACAACGCACTGGATAGCTGGCCAATCAGAGCACGACTCGCTTTTTTAGAACGATGAGCTTTGTAAAAATCGACGCGTTTCAGAAAGGCGGGGCATAGAGGAGAAACAATAATGTACATTATATGGAAAATAATGTTTTTTTAAACTTAAAACGCATAAACACATTGCATTACACCAAATCTACATCTACATACAGCACCTTTAAACGTGAGTTGACTGGCCAGCAATGACAGTTTTTTTTTCTTTATTTTTTTTCTGGAAAGACGTTTCGTCAGCTGAACAATCAGTATGTTGTTAAACAAAAATTGTCCCAAAAAAAAGTGTGCAAAAATTGGACTCACTGTATTTCTATCCCTACCAGCCTCGTTTTAATTTCTGTCAAAAATTACATATTTTACCATAGGTTAAATGACATTCTTTGAGACGGTATAAGTTGCAAGTGATCTGTAACCCAAATTTTTCTTACTGACGTGGATAATATTCGTATGGACGGCGCTTACTACCACAAGATTAAATAAATAAAAAATTTAATTTATTTCTTGCAGTTCTTTGTTTACATCTCGCAATTCTGACTTTTTTTTCTCTGAATTCTGAGTTTACATCTTGCAATTCTGTTTCTTTTTCCTGCCATGGAATATAAAATAAAAAAGGTAAACGCAACTTTTTTTCCTCACAATTGCGAGTTTATATCACACAATTCCAACTTTTTTTTTTCTCAGAACTGCGAGATATAAAGTCAGAATTGCAAGAAAAAAGTCCGAATCAGTCACAGTCCCTTTTCTTTTGTTTGTAGTATTTCCTCTGCACCTATAGTGTGGGAGTTTGTAGGCCTGCTGAGAGCTGAGATTTGGAAGCTGTGGGTTACTGCAGTTGCGCATTGGCTAAAGTATGTGTTAGTTTTTTTTATTTATAACATTATAATGTGGGTTGTGTGGCTGGCAATTAAGGTATTGTTTCTTTTTAAAGGGGCAAACCAGACACTATTTCTATTGTGCTTTTAAGTTTTCTTTTGTTTGGTTTATCTTAGGTATAGATCCTGTACTGAACTGAATACTGTTTGCATTGTATCTTTGTTTTTTGTTATTTGCTTGGTATTGCTCTCCTGTTTGTGTTACAGTGTGCTTTGTGGCTTTAGTAGGATGTATTGTGTGCTTGGTGGCTGTGTGTATGAGAAGGTTTGCACTGTAATGGTAATTAAAGGTTTTTAAGAGCATTTTGCTCACTTTTTTGAAGTACTTGCTGTGGGTTTTCTGTTTTCTTCTCTTCCTCTGTCCTCTACAGGGGGCAAAACGAGGCAGTGTGCATTAGCAGGCCTGACCTTTTTCATGAAAGCTTTTCCCTCCTTTTATGGATTCTATTGACATACAGATGTTTTAATTGATATTTTAAAATGAGAAGATCTGCGTTAGGGTAATAAACTCTTTGCATTGCTATTGTTACAAATCTTGAGTTTTTGATTCTTTCAGCTTTGCTGTGCCAAAAATCCTTTACCTACGTTGGTGTTCCCAGACAAAAATGACCAGCATTTTAAAAATTGCTTGTAAATCTCTCATTATGCTATTATCACCACATCTTTTTAGCATTTTTCTCCATAGTAACTAATAGATTTGAAAGGTGACATAGGCTATATTGTTTTTATTATTAAGTGCTTTTGCTTTGAATTATGAATTGGATAATTACATTTCTGAATAGATTACATTTAGGCTACTTTTTTCTTAACACTCTCGTAGTTATTATTTATCTCTTTCCTTTGGGGCACAGCGCACACACCCATTTTGTTTACGCACAGAAAACCAGGAAGTATTTGAGTTCAATAGAAACAAAACCTAATTTACCACAACACCTGTGCTTCAACTTCAATCCACGCAGCTGTTCTTTGGGCCAAAGCTGTAAAACAGATAATATTCGTGTTGTGTGTCTGTTGATGTAGGTAAGGACATGATAAGATCCAATGGTAATGGCTTTGTCATGTTGTCTGCTTTTAAAAAGATATCACGTTTCTATTCATGTACCTTGTAACATGCGTGGTGAAACAAAAGTTTGTTTTTATTTGTCAAAAAACGTTAGTATTGTTGAAACGGAATATTTTTATACAAACAATTCTACAAAACCTATACTTTTTATTCTCTATAGCTTCATTAAAATTGCATATTTCTGTGGTGATCACGACTATTCTGGACTAAATTCAAATTAAGTTTTATCGACAGCAAATGTCTGCTGTTGATTAGCATAGAACAGAATTTATTCTTAAAGTAAAAAAATAAATAAATAGTGATTAAGGTTGTTACCATTATTTGTGGAAACTTTTCACACAAATAAATGTTTGGTTAGGTACCTGGAATTAAAAATTGTAAAATCTTTATAGAGTGTCCATACTTTCACTTTCTCAACTTTTACACTCCTGTCCACTGCATGGAAATAAATCAGCTAAATGTAGTAAAATGAAATAAAACTATATAGCACATGTAAAATATAAAGTATCTTTCTGGGTAGAGTACATATAGATTGTCCATCCATTTTACTATTGCTGTTTACTGGAATTCTGTCAAAAGATATATAACAAATAACATGTTTTCTTGACATACCCTTTTTACAGGATAGAGGCTGAGAATCGTGCACACGAAATAATAATTCGTTCTACTTCCTGTCTGTCCTCATTCTCATAAACTGATGTAGATGCCTCTCACTTAAAAGGATTCCATGCAATGCTGCAAGGCTTTTGCGAATGTCTCTATAACTCAGCAGTGTTTAGAACTACGATAACCCGGAGTTAAGCTCAGTGTGAAAAGCCCTCTGGTCTTCGCTCTCCCATCTGAAAACCAGGAAGTGTGTGGATTCAGGAGAAACGAAACCTATTTCTCTGCTAAACAAGCCATCTCTGCTTAAAGCTGCAGTCCGTAAGTTTTGCCTCTTTGTCGCCATCTCTGTTTGAAAACCTGGAATTGCAGATGAGTGCGGAAAAATGATTTTTTGACATTTAATTATTCTAGCTGTTGTGAGAAAAGGCTATAAATGATCCTTCACCTGCAGGATGAGGATCCTCACATGCGATGGCCTAGTAGCCGGGACAACTTCTTTATGTTTACAGACGTGACGTAATGACGCAGTGCCATGCTCGAATTTCCCGCGAAAACCTACCCGTAACTGTTACCACTAAAACATTATTATAAACTAACCGTTGTGAATCGGGCTAAAGTAAGGCGATAGTTTTGAACACTGACTGGTTATGTACTTGCTCAAATATTGATTTCGGATCATTTTTAACCAAAAAAAGTTACCGACTGCAGCTTTAATGATCCACACTCTTCTATAGAAAATAGTTTTACCTGTCTTTTTTGCTTGCATTGGGAAAAAGAAGAAGAAGAAGAACGGTATTACTGTATGTGTTTAATGCTGTCTTGATGTCATATGTTTATCATTTTGGTTATGGTTGAAGCCTTTAGGACTAAATACACAAAACTGTAAGTGCTTTGTAGATTTTTAGATGTGCTCTTTCATTAATGATTTACATGTGAATTTATGTTCTCTTTCTTTAATGATTTACTTCTGGCAGAGCAGTTTCTATTAGAGCTATATAAACTATCTGCAAAGAAATGGCCGAGTCTGCAGCGAGTCAGTATGAGGATCAGTTCATCTGTTCAGTCTGTTTGGATCGGCTGAAGGAGCCGGTGACGATTCCCTGTGGACACAGTTACTGTATGAGCTGCATTACTGACTGCTGGGGCCAGAAGGAGCAGGAGCCGCCGTACCGCTGTCCCCAATGCAGAGAGAGCTTCAGTCAGAGACCTCTACTGAAGAAGAACACTCTGATAGCTGAGATGATGGAGACGCTGCAGAAGACGTCTCTACAAACGGCTGCTGTGGAGTGTGATGTTTGCACTACAGAGAAGAGCAGAGCTGTAAAGTCCTGTCTGCAGTGCTTGGCCTCCTTCTGTCAAACTCACCTGCAGCTTCACTATCAATCTCCTGCGTTTATGAAGCACAAACTAGTCGAAGCCTCCAGATTCATTCAGGAGAACGTCTGCCTCAGTCATGGGAAACCTCTGGAGATTTACTGTCAGGATGACCGTCAATGCATTTGTTGTTTGTGTATGACTGACAATCATAAAAACCACAATGTTGTATCTATAGATTCAGAATGGACTAGTAAAAAGGTAATGAATGCTTATTAGGCAGGCCTATATCAGTACCTATTCTACTTCTTCCTTATTACCTTTTTATGACATATTTTATTTGATATTTAATGACCACAAAATGAGATTGGCAAGGTGTAACTATATTTCTACTTTTTAACATTAATTTTGTACATTAACATCCTCAGAAAGAGTTAAAGGAGATAAAGGTGGTGTGTCAAAAGCTGACTGAGGAACGAGAAAGAGGTCAGCAGGAAATCAGTGAAGCTGTGAAGTCTTTTAAAGTGAGTATCACAAGATGCAAGTAAAAAAAAGAGGCAAAATAATAATAAAAGAGAGGCATAATAAACTGGTGACATTTTGATTTTGCTAGTTCATTTGACTGTTTTGATTTGGACAAGAACTATGACAAAATTAATTGAAATTGGTCACATAAATACAGTATTTAGGCTGTTGTTCCTGTCCAACAGAGTTCAGCACAAGAGGCCGTGGAGAACATTGAGAAGGTCTTCACTGAGCTCATCTGCTCTCTGGAGAAGAAACGCTCTGAGATTAAAGAGCAGATCAGAGATCAGGAGAAGACTGAGATAGATCGAGCAGAGAAACTTCACAAACATCTGGATCAAGAGCTGACAGAACTCAGAAAAAGACAAGCAGAGATTGAGAAACTTCTGATTACTGATGATCAGATCCACTGTCTGAAGGTAATGATGCAATAATATTGAAATGAAACACTTTAATGCTCATTTTATGGTGTGGAAAGATATTTTGTGCTTCACAAACTAAGTCAGAAGTATTTTTCTCATTTCAGAGCTGTCAGTCTGTGTGTGTTTTACCCTCATATGAAGACGTTCCCAGCTTCACTCAACACACTCATCTGTCTTTTAAAGACATTTCAATCTCAGCATTCAGAGAGGTTTTGGAGGACGTCTGTCAACAGCAAACAGCCAGAATGTCTCGAGAAGGTCTCAATGTTTTAAATCAATATTTAAAATAAATGTTTTAAAAGTTGTGTTGCTTCATTCATAACATTTTAGATTTAATTTATAAAATAAGCATTTGATTGTGTTTCGTGCCCTGCTTTAGTGTCAAATGTTCATGTTGCAGCGTCTCCAGAACCTGAAACTCCAAATGAATTTTGGCAGTGTAAGTTGTTTTATTTTTATACTTTGTTTCTTCGAGCAATTGCTGAATGATGAAAATAATAATATCTAATATCTATTTCTATTATCTGTTAAAGGGGTCATATGATGCGATTTCAATTTTTCCTTTCTCTTTGGAGTGTTACAAGCTCTTGGTGCATAAAGAAGATCTGTAAAGTTGCAAAGACTAAAGTCTCAAATCCAAAGAGATATTCTTTATAAAAGTTAAGAGTCAGCCACACCTACCTAAAATGCCTCGTTCTAACACGCCCCCACATATCTACATCACGAT